AAGACAGCTCTTTGAACTTTGTCATTCTCAAATAAACCAGCCCTTTAAAGCACAAAGGAAACCAGCACTGTTCTAAGTGCTTTCCAAACATTAACTCATCAGGAGACTGAGGCTCACATATGCAATATTTTCAGTCATATAGCTGGAAAGTGGTGAAGCTAGAACTCAATCCTGGCAGTCTGATTTCAGAGCCCATTATCCCTAAGTCTACTCTATGTAGCGCATTTTCTAATGTACATAATTGCACATATATGCGTGCGCATGCACACACACACACACACACACACACACACACACTCACCATTGTTTAGGTTTTCTCAGTCCAAGCTTAGAATATCTCAGGATTCAAGTCTAAGCTTTGCCATCCATTAGCTATATGACTATGGACAGATTATTCTCCTTCCCTGAATCTCAGTTTTCTCATATGTAAAACAAGGGGAGTGGGCTCAAGCATTTCTGAGTTTTCTTCAGGTCTAGCAGGCAATTTATGGACTTTCCAAAAGCAGAATCCAGAATTCAGCTCTCATTCTCAGAGAGCTCAGAGCAAGCAAGGAGGCCTAATCCCGAGATGCTACTTGCCTCTAAGTCCTTAGTGATTGGGTGGGAGGGTCCATGTGTGACCAGGAGAATGGCATAGGCTTTGCAGATCATCCCGTGCCCCACTTCAATGTTACCAGCATGCCAGTTGGTCAGCCCAGCCCTCATCACAGCCATGCCCAGTTGGGCATTATTGGGGTGGTAGAGCTTCCTATAGGGGCATACAAAATAATCATAACACATATTCTTATATCTGCACAGTATTTGACAACTCTCAGGAGCACCCCAGCCTTCTCCCTGGAAAGCAGTAAGATTCAAAGGGAAAAAAATAACTTGAATATCCTTTTTGAGACAAAATTGTATTTTCACCTCCTTGGCACCTTCCTAACAGAGCTTCCTTTTAGCATGTTATATAGTTTTCCCACATTTTATTTATGATTAACATTCTCCCCCCAAAATGAACCATCTTGTGCCAACTTATTCATTTGACTAGAAATACAAATTCACATGCCAATGTGTACAGAGGGAAGACAAGGGTGTTATATTTTATAATTTATAAGCAAAAATAGCTGACTTTTTTTTTTTTAAGGCAAGGCGACCCTTGGTTGACTTCACAGATTGCAAGGACCTTGTCAGCTTACAATCCCTTATTTTTTTAAATTTTTTACGACTATAGCACCTGGTCTTTCTAGGTGGTCTCCCATCCACATACTAACCAGGCCCAACCCTGCTTAGCTTCTGAGATTAGACATGATTGAGCTTGTTCAGGGTAGCAGGGCTGTAGACTGACACCTGTTTTTTTAATAAAAGAAAGCTCACAGAATTGCCTATGGTGATTCTTAGCAGGGAAAACTTCTGCAAGCACTTAAAATCAAGCTGGACTTAGCCTTAAGGAAAACAAAAGCAGAAGATGCCACCAAATGCTAGATGACCTGAAGAATTTAGGAAAGACCAGAGATTACAAATAGGTTTCATCTCAGGTACCAACTCTGATTATTTGGTCATTACTACTCAGAGTACCATGGTAAAAAGGCTCCATTGTAAGGGGGACTGATTACTGATGCCTGCTGTGGGGTCATCTATTTTCATGCCTGGAATAGACACATTTCCAGGTGACTATCTGAGATCTGGGATCATCACCTACATATAGCCATCCACCATCCTCCTGGCGTAGTAAGAGGCCTCCTCAAATGCCTGGAGGTAGGAGAGGACCTCTGAAACAATGCTCAGCATCCGCAGCATGTAGAGATTAGTGTCAGCAAACACTGACTCCTGCTTCTCCAGGCACTCTCGGCATAATTTCACAACCTAGAAGAAACACAGGTCCTGTCTAGTACCAATGTACCACAGCACATGTTTAATTCACATATTGGGAGCGTCACGATGACATCTTCAAAGAATACTCATTCTTTGAAGGTTGAGGAAATTGCTGCCAGATGGAAAAGCACCATTTGTGATTTGAATAGCAAAATGGTATTATTTGGCTAAAATGTAAGGATAACAGAGAAAGGATAACAGAAGAGATACAACTGACACTGCAAAATGAGTTTTCATAAATAAGTCAATTGGTAGCAGGGAGTTATGAAAGATATATAGCTATCTTTATATCATTTTACATATATACATATATATTACTCTCACAACAATGAAATGAGATAAGTTCTACCAATATTCCCATTTTACCAGATAAGAAACTGAAGAATAGAAAGGGTAAGTGCTTTGCCAAAGTCACACAGATAGTAGGCAGTTGAGCAAACCAAGCAATTGAGCTTTGTCTTAACCAACATTCCCATGATTCTCTACCCTGGCTTTGCTCTGGAATCACCTGGAGACCTTTTTAAGAACACCTCCGTCGGGGCTCTATCCTCAGACCAATTGAAACCTAATATCTGGGGGAGGATACCACATTAGTCCTGGTGAGAAATGAGATGGGCCTGACCCTGATCAGCTGGGAGTCAGGCTTTTCCAACTGATTCATGCATAGACATAGGCTTAGTTTGCACTCTACAAAGTCAAATGGTCCTTATATTTTAGTTGTTTGTTGTTCTCTTCTTCTTCCCTTGACACTCTCATGAGAGAAATGCCACACAATTCTTTCCATTTTAAATAAGTGAAAACTAATTTTGCTCTGAGACTCTCCCAGAGGCCCATGAAGCAACTGAGTGGGAGTGTGGTAAAATATGGGCTGACAATCAATTCGTTTTAAAGACAATTCTTTTAAACCCATGAGGGAGTGTCCAGCCCTACACCTGGGCAATTTTGAATGGAGAAAATAAGAAATGAAGAGGAGAAAAGATGGAGGAATGGAATGAGCAGAGCTCTCCTGCTTGTTTCAGCTCCTATCTCATGCTTCTGAGATAGATTTTCCATGTCGTTAATAACATTAACTGTCATTAACTGTCTCCCCCACCTGACAATTCCTGCGAGGCAGAAAGCATGTCTTGTATCAGTCACTCCAATAAGGGCTCAAAAATGAGCAATGAATGAGTAAAGAATGAAAACAAAGATAAGGAAAACACAGGTATAAATTAACAGAAATTAATCTCCCACACTGCTATGCCATAGTGGCATCCAAACCCAGTTCTTTCAAGAGCTTGGGTAAAAATGCAGATTCATTGTCCCTGTGTTCTGTTGCACATCAGATAAATCACATTTTAGGGGGTGAGACACAGGAAACAAATTTCCAAAAAGCTGCCAAGGTGAATTCAATGCAAGTGTCCTGCAAGTGTTTGACGGTGGGTCCCAATTTTGGATGCACAGTGAAATCATTTGTAAGCTTTAAAAATCCTAATGTCTGGGTCCTGCCCCAAGAGATTCTGGTGAAATTGTCCTGTGTCTGGATCTGAGCAGTAGAATTTTTCAATGGTCTAGTGTACAGACAGTTGAGAACTCCTGGTGCCTCAAGGGCCAGGAGTGAATGCTTCATTAGCAGAGAATAGAAATTGTAGCCAGGATACGAATTTAATTATGGAAAAGCAAGCAACCCACTGTCATCTCCATTCCTCCATCTCTGATGCCAACCTGAGATATCACAAATTTCCCAGGAACATTTGTCAGGCTGCCTGTATTCTTCTCAGATCGTTTCAGTGGTTTGAACAGTCACTGAGAATATACCCCTAAGAAATAATAAAAGCTTAAGGGCAAGAAGATTCCTCGTCTCAACCAAGGGACATTGTCCAGAAAAACAACCTGCTTGGTGGCCTTTCCATCTTCACCCCACCCCATTTCACTCCCTTACTAGAGAAACTTACTGCCTTCCTCCCTAGCCCCATCCCCAATAAATTGAATTCTTACCTCATGGTACAAACCCTCAGAGCGAGCCTTGTCAATTTTCTCCAGCGTATCATTAGAGAATTGTATCATTTCCTTTACCACATCTTGAGAGGGCTAGGAAAAGGAGGGACATTGAGTTACCTCTTTGAATAGTTGTCATTTTGATGTTCAATGTAGTACAAAATTAATGCCTTTCTCATTATGAATGTTTCATTTCTATAAATGCTGTTCAAGACCCCCATAGATTTTCCATCATGCTTCTGACTCGTTTTTTTATTGACCAATCCCCGGAGCCTTGCTGCCAGCCAGTCATCTCCAATCTGTACTTATGACCGGGCTTTTGACCCAGTGCAGAATCTGACATTGATCCCTGTTGTATTTTCTCTGGCATTTTGGATTCTTATTCTATTATTCAAAATATTTCCCATTTTTCCTCTTTACTTCAAGTCGCCACATATTCTATGGATATGCCTTTGCTTTTTTGTCTTCGCCTGTCATTGATCTAAATACTGACCAGCACAGAGCTAACAACAGAGGCTGAAGAATTGACTAAAAATGTGTACCCCAGTTTGACACTGAAGCTCACTAAATACGGCTCTTGTGGCTATGGGCATCCAAACTCTTCCAAGTACCTTAGCATCAGTTCATGTTTTCTTGTATTCACCAAAAGTATATTATGAGAGAATTTGTCAGCTGTCTCTGTGAAATCTGGACTCATTAGGCTTATTGCGTTTGCCTGAGCAATCCAGGGATATTGTAAAAAAAAAAAAAATGAGATCATGATATTTGAGATAAGGAGGCACCATAAGTAAGAAGGCCATGAGGGCACCATAATTTCAAAGAAAAAGTGACAAATTTTCAAAGTCCAATGCAAAGTTTCCTTGCTATGCTTATCCATATCAGAAGCTCTTTTCTGATTTTGTTTGTTTGTTTGTTTGTTTTTTGCTTAGACAAATCTGATAAAGCTTTTTTTACAAAACAAAAATAACTTGTTTAGTCTGACTATAAAATAGATGTGTGGAATCTGTAAAAAATTAAAACATGAAAAATTATTGAGAAAAAGATGGAAATCCCCAGAATGCACACAAAGATGGACATGGCATTTTGAGGAACATTTTCCAATGCATATATGTAGGATTAATATTTAAAATATTTAACAATGATACAGGAAAGGCACTGACCAATCAGAACAGACACTAACCATCAACAGTGAGTATCTCAATACGACCTTACCAGTGTTGAATTGCAGTCCTGATGAATGTGTGTATGAGTGCCAATAACATTAATTATTTTTTCTAATTGTAATGGTACCATATTTCTTTTTATATTCTGTTTTTTTTCACTCAATAGATTATAGATATTCCCTCATTTCTATAAAAATATGTCATCACTTTTAATAAATGTAGAGTTTTTCACTGTATGAAGCTAGAATAATTTATTTAACCAATTCTCTAGTTGTCCAATTTTTCACTGTAAGGAATTGGGCCCAACGGCTCCATTTACACTGGCTACTTACATTGTTTTGTGAGGTTACCTTCATTCAACTACCAAAAAGTAATGAGAAGGTGGGCATTTGTTCCCATAAACACACACACACACACACACACACACACACACACACACACACACACACACACCCTTTAGAGATGGAGATCAGGATCTTCCCTCAGTCTCCCAGCTATCTTGAGCCAATTCTGGAACATCTTTCAGTACGAAAAGCCCCTAGCTAGGACAGCTTGCTTCCGGGTCAGGATTTTTTTTAAAAGGAAGCATTATATTTATTCTTCTACCCACCTCACCTACATTGGTTTCTGCAAAGTTCTTGATTATTCCTATAATTTCGACTACCTTTGTTTCCATATTCTTCCATATCTGGACCTCCTGGGAATTCTTCTATACATCTACTTGTACTTGTCTCATGGCCTGATCCCGACAAGTGATACATCTATCCACGCTCTAACTTCTGCTTACAGGTCTCACTCCTGACTTAACTTTTGTCTTGACCTTTGATTTGGCTGAGATTTCTGGCTTCTGGATACCTTCTAAACTGAGTGCTGCTTAGCCTTCTGTTAACTTGAAACATGTCATGGTTTCAGACAAGTCATTTTGATGTATGTCTGCTTTCCTAAGACTCTTTGAATCAAGCACAATAGTATGAGGGAGGTCCATGTCTTGCTCAGTTGTGCAGAGTTCTGCGACTGGTAGTCCAGCATTATACCACCAACCTTTCAAATCTACTTTTTTAGTCTCATCCATAGCTTGTTGCCCAAGTAGTGGCTCATAACATCACACCTAGTTTTTGACCACTAGTCTCTAATCTACTGTAAGTTCCATCATTTTTAAAACTCCAAATTCTCAGTAAATCTTCTGCAGCAATCAGTATCTTTCAGGTAGATTGAGAAAATACCAAGTGGTTAGGTGTTAATAATAGTCTTGCTCAACTTGTTGTTACAAAGAAGAGTGTTACTTGAAGCTGTGGGAGTGAATCATTTTTTTTCAAGGAGGCAGCTGCCAAAGTTTCCAAAACAACCTAGCTAAAAGGTTGTTAATTAACACATGCAATATGTGATAAAGCTATTCTGAGAAGGGAAATGGGCAGTTCCACAGGTTCTATTTTCAGAGTAAAGACAAGAAAACCTGATCTGCAAGTAGGATTTAATGAGCCCCATTGAGAGAATCCCCTCTTCAAGAGTATCCCAAAAATAGAAAACAGAGAGGAAAAGAGGGAAAGGAGCCAGAGGAGGAGGAGCCAGAAGAAGAAGTAGAGGGGGAAAGAGGAATACTGATTCCCCAACCTTGAAAAATTGGTACATTCATATTGTGAAAACCATGGGAGAAGACTGATAAGAGAGAAAAATAAAAACCTAAGCAGGCTAAAGAAAGAAAGTCCAAAGCTGCAATCAAGGAAAATGTTATGAATTTTGGTGGTTATTTTCTCATTTTTTAATATTCAGTTTTAATTTTTATCCAGGTTTACATATACATACATTAAGGAGTCAGGAATAATTTTGATGTCAATTGAAAATTTGAGAATGAGTCTGTTGTACTGACAGGTGCTTATTAAGCTGGGATAAAGAATTATAAAGAAAGGAAAGAAAAGCAACTGTGATAACATCATAGATAAACCAGCTTGAATGAGCTGTTAGTAAATTAATTCAACTCCCGATTTTACAGGTGAAGAAACTGAGTCCCAAAGGAAGAGACTGCCCAAGCTCAGACATTCAGGGTCACAGGCAGAACTAATTATTTTTCCAGTATTCTTTCTACTACATTATATAATGGCCTTTTGTTATGCCTTAGGATACACTTGCTTTCATTTCTCATTAATACATTATTATATTGAGCATATAATGAAATGATAATATTTTGGACAAATTTGGTTAAGAAATATATTATTGAAATTAATTTCACCAGTTTCTTTTGACATTTCTCTTTTAAATGATTTATAAATTTGTCTATTACAATTGACATACAAAATCATCTCAGTTTTAGGTGTACAACATAGTGATTAGATATTTATATAATTTCCAAAATGATCACCCTAATAAATCTAGTATCCATCTGACACCATTACAGTTATTACAATATTATTGACTATATTCCTTTTGCTATATTTTATATCCTCGTGACTGTTTTGTAACCAATTTGTATTTCTTAATCCCTTCCCCTTTTTCACCCCCCAATTCCCCTCCTATTTTGCAACCATCAAAATGTTTTCTGTATCTATGCATTTGTTTCTGTTTTGTTTCTTTGTTTATTCTGTTCTTTAGATTCCACATGTAAGTGATATCACATGGCATTTGTCTTTCTCTGTCTGACTTACACCACTCAGCACAATACCCTCTAGGTCCATCCATGTTGTACAGATGGCAAGATTTCATTTTTTTGATGGCTGAGTAATATTCCATTGTACATATGTACCACCTCTTCTTTATCCATTCATCCATCGATGAACACCTAGGATGCCTCCATATCTTGGCTATTGTAAATAAGCCACAATAAACACATGGATTCATATGTCTCTTTGAAGTAGTGTTTTGGGTTTCTTTGGATCAATACCCAGAAGTGGAATTACTGAGCTCTCTTTGTCTTTTGTTATTGGCTTTGTTTTAAAGTCTGTATATAAGTACTGCTACTCCGGTTTTTTGTTTGGTTTTTGTTTGTTTATTTCTGTTTTCATGAAATATCTTTTTCCACCCTTTTACTTTCAGTCTATTGTATCTTAACATCTGAGGTGGGTCTCTTGTAAGCAGCATATGTAAAGGTCTTATTTTCTTATCCATTCAGCGACCTTATGCTTTGATGTAGTAAATGGAGCATTTACTACATTTACATTTAAAGTAGTTGTTAATTGTTTTATGATCAAAAGCATGACGGCATGAGAGATCTCGCCTGATCTCTCTCCTTGAAATTACAACAAGCGAGACACCTACAATCCAACGAATAACACCCAACCTGAACACAAGTAGATCTGTACATCAGAGTATCTGAAGGTGGGCATTCCGCATAAGAAATGGAGATAGAAATGGAGAGAGAGACAAAGACAGGCACTGTGGGATGCAGCCTATAGCTCCCTGCAGGACGAAAGGGAAGGGGAAATTATGTGGCAGTTTTTTTAACTCTTTGAAGCCCTGAACAGTTCTGCCTGAGTGATCAGCATATTCCACATGGCAGAGCCCAGTGATCCAGAAAAAGAGCAAGGCAGAGATCAAATGCAGAGGGGTGACAGCTGTGTCTTAGCAATAGCCATTGCCAGGCAGAAAGCTGAATCACAGAGCTTGCCCACTTCCCCCATCATCCCAGAGCATGCCCTCTCCCTCATCCCTGTACCCTCCCAGAGCTGGCATTGAGTCTCAAGGAAATCTGCAGCAACCAGAACTAAAACACACACTACACCTGGTCCCAGTGACAGGGGTGGAGATATAGAAGCAAAATAGCTAAAGCTTGAGAGTCAGCATTACTGGAAAGAAAACAGCCACACACACCATTGGCCTTCCTCAGTCCACCCCATCACCGCCTACTCTGGTTGATTAGAAAAGAAGCAGCAGAATACCGCATATGACTGTTGGGGCTCTACTGGGACTTCTGGGCCTTTTCAGAGGCTCAGACCCCCA